CGCCTAGTGACTGGAACCGATGTCTCTCAGAGTGACCTTACCTCTTTCATTTTTGTTTAGCTCCTGGGTTCGTTTGCACTAAGTTTAAAAGGTTTCTTCGGTTCGTTTTGGATTATCACTGCCGAGTGCCAATCTGATGGGTAACTGGTTATCAGATGAGGAAGCAGAACAAAGAGAAAGAGAAGCGGAAGAAGAACGAAGAAGAATAGAGCTGGAGGAAGCACAAAGAAGAAGAGAAGAGGAGGAGGCATGGAAAAAAGTAAAGAATAACATCCGTGGATTACAAACTGAAATGAAAGTGCACTCACTTGCCCACAATTTCTGTGCAGAATACAATTGAAAATGTCACTTCTCATCCGGTAGGCGGGTTGATTGGCAGGCTACAGAGCTCTCGGCTGGAAAACGCCGACGGCAAGTGATCCTAGACAACGCTTACTTTAATTGCAGTGTTCTTCCTCGGTGTTGCCACATTTGTTATTCAACGATGCTATACAATACAGTGGTTGATTCACACAAGAAGCATTACAAAGCAGAGATAAATTGCCAGAGTATTGTAGACAAAGCGAGGTCTGCTTGTGATTCCAACGAATCGGCGAGTTCTCTAAGGGATAGGTATCATGAACTGCTGAAGGACAAAGGAAACTCAAGCGAGATAAGTTACGAACAATGGGCTTATAAAAAAGCATCGAAGAAATGAAATGGAGAATGCGAGTAACTACGCCGCAATAACTCTTTAACTTTCTATAAAAGCTTAAGACATCAAGGATAAATAGGAACTGTAGTTTGTACTCTGTCTTGTCTGTACTATGATGTTTTTCAAACCTCAGTTTGATTATTAATAGCAGAAGTCTTTGATATAAATTTCTGAGCGAATTAACAACTAATTTCGATAGAAGCTTGTTTCGGTGAAAATGCAGATAAGATATCATTGAAATGTTTTATTTTTCAGGTTCAAGTTGGCAAATGTTCTGCGAAACATCAACCAATAGACAATAGCCAAACATTTCAACGCTTTCATATTAATTTTTAAGTATAGAAATGAAAAATATCACTCAACTAGGTAGACTGAAAAGTGTCAAATAGTTCCTTTGAGATATGAGTGATTAGTTGTACCTTTTTTTTATGAATGATTCAGTAGATGAATAAAGAGATCTCCAAAACGCAAGTGCGAATGTAGTGTGACTAATTGTGTGACCGGTTCTTCGATTTTGGTTTGCGTTCCCGTATGTAAATCGTCCCCCATGACAAGTGTTGCTAGGAAACTGAGCCTCTGTTATGACAAGGCGCCATATTGGAAAATTGCTCTGTTCAAGCTCGTTATTTTGTAACAAGATTTATCCTTTTTGAACCATGCCAACTGCTGTTTTAAAAGACGAAAACGTAGACAAAGAAGAGGATAATTATCCAAGGTAATGACAGGAAAGAGATCACACTTATTGGGCGATTTGGGTATAAGAACTGTAGGTTTGACGAATTCTCATTTTTACGAAACAGGATTACGAAGAAAGTGCTAATTCAACTTTGCAAAGATCACAAATTGTACAGAACGCCATATCTTAATGATGTTCTCTACCTTCATTATAAAGGTACGTAACTCGAGATAAAAGTATGTTATATATGCTTCTTTTTAGTTAACTTAGGTCATCTAGACAAGTGTTACATGAAAGTTCATGTGTGATTTTTAATCATTGTCATTTTTTATTATCAATTTGAAAACCAATGTCGTTTCATCAAGCGAAGGCCTGGTGTCCGTAATATTTTTTCTGTTTTTTCTTGTGGCTAAATGTCTGACAGCCGTGCACAGTCTCAAATAGACTAAATGTCCGGCAGACATAAATTTTCAAACAATTTCTCGTGAAAGGTTCTCCTAAACTTCTGAGGCTAAGAGTATCAGATGTTTAAGTAGAAAAGCTAAGCGACTCCTTAAAATAATTTTTGTTTTTAGTGAACGAACTTTTCGAGTTTGAGTATGCTGCAAAAGCGCTTGGCGTCGACGCTTAAGAAAGTATTTGTAGACAGACTGACTTGCATGGTCTCAAGTGCCCAATTCAGTCAGAAATATTCACTGATCATGAATTCTCTCTGTCACAAACTTCGTGCAAACGAAATGAGATTGTTTGATGCTTATAAGAAATACCAAGCTGTTCTTGAAATCACAATGGTTTTTTATTGGAAAAATTTTCCAAGCTTGTGCCTACCATAAAATTGCTTGATTGTTATTTTATGTATATATTATGTGCCAAAAATCTATTACTTTTAAATTATTATTACCTTTAAGTTCCCTTAGTGTGATATTAGCTGAATTACTATCACAGGGTTTGCAAAGATAGAAAACCTTGAGGAGTACACAGGCTTAAAATGCTTATGGTTGGAATGCAATGGAATCCATAAGATTGAAAATCTGGACAATCAGAAAGAGTTGCGATGCTTGTAAGTACTATTGGATCTTTTTCAGTCAACATCTTTAAGGTGACAGTACATACTACCCAATGCAAGAGCTGTCGAGGTTTTCTTGCCATGGTATTTTTGTAGAAACTCTCTCTCAGGCTTCATCACTTCACAGGTTTATTATGAACCAGTGTAATGACCAGCTCCTAGTTGACTTGTTAGCTTAGTTGATAGAGCTCTGCCTTAGTATCACAGAGGTCATGGGTTCAAATCCCATGGAGGTCTTCAACTTTTTCAGGCCTTATTTTCACTACTGCTCAAGTATTGTTTATTACTGCAAAGATTGCTTTCATATTAATTTCTCCCTGGCTTGTTGGACACCAAACATACACCCGCAATCATTTTCAGTAAACCATGCAGGCAATGTATTTGTTTAAAGGAGTATGTTAATTTTTAAGGAATCTGTGGACTGCTGCATCAGTGGGGGTATTTCAGGATAATTTGGTTTCATTGTGTGAGTTGATAATGTAAATTGGCCGTGGTAGAGAGTTAATCTAAATTAACTTTCTGATCATTAGCCTTTCATCAAAGTGAAATACTCAAAATTTGGGGTAAAACTTGAAATGTCAGCATTACGAACTCTGTACAGTGGCCAGTTTACATTATCAGTTCAGTTGATAAAAACTAATTATTACATATATGCAAAACATGTCAAATATGCTGTCCCCTCTGCATCAAAGACCCTTTTTAGCTTACTTGTAATATTTCAACACCACTGATAACCCTATATCACTTGCGGGGTTTTAGGAAAATATCAGTTAGGATCAAGAAAAATCATGGGGTACAGGCTTTCCTAAAACACTTTTCACCTGTATCACAGTTACAGGCTTTTTGGAAGCATCAATTAGGAAGTAACATACCACTAAGTGAACACTTTTCATGACTATAATGATACTAAACATTTACCAATGACAATTAATACTTATACATTCTGGTCTCTTACACATTTTATATGTTTGAAGTATACCAATTAACCTAATGGCAAACTTGTGGGGTTCTGAATCCAAGGATCTGGCCACTATTGTTTAGGGGATGCAGTGTTCTCCTTTTCAGGCAGTAACCAGTGAAATTTACTGCCTGTTTAACTCTGATTACCATCGAAATTGGATTTCTGTACCAGTTTGACTGATGAGGAATCAAGGTTACTGTCAACAGAGTAGGGTGCCTTCACAAAAAATCATGGGGTACAGGCTCCCATAAAACATTTTTTTCAGCTGTATCACATTCTTTTAAAAGATTAAAGATTTTGTAAAATTTTTTTCGATGAATTAACTTACCACTTTCTTTAGGTGAAAGCAAAAAAACGAAATTTTAGTTAACAAAATTTGACCAGATTTTGATGACAGTTAACCTTTATCCACTGGATGAAGCCCGGTTTGAAATAGAAAAGAGTTATTTTGTTATACTCTTGAGCAGCTTTCACAATACCTCTCTATTCCAGTAAAGCCAAAATTATTCTGGGAGGTAAACTGCATTGGACAAGGCAACTGCAGAGAGTTTGTAGGTTTTTACCTCATTTTTTTTTTCTCATAGCTTTGTCATTATGCAATAGATGGTGTTCTCCTATACAGACCACATTAGAATTCTGTAACATTTAAAAGAGTTTTGTGGTTTTACATTGAGTACACATCCATGCACATTCATAGTGGACCACATCTACTGCCAGCTTTGTGTTAATTGGCTGCATTATTGACTTTGATTTAGGTACCTACAACAGAATCTCATAACAAAGATAGAGAATGTGGAACATCTGCAACAGCTGGATACACTTAACGTCAGCAACAACACCATTTCTAAGATTGAAAACATTGGTGAGTTTGTTCTTGCTATTGATTGCATACTGTATACCTGTACAGTCCTGTGCAACTGCAGCTAATTTTTTATCCTTCATGTAGTTGCAAACACTAAATATTGCCCTCTGATACACTGACCTCCCAGAAGATACACAAGATCTTGTCAGATTTTTATATTACTTTCTGTAATGATGTGATTTATTACCTGCTGTGCTTAGAGTGTATTAACTTTTGGTACCTCAAGGATAAGCACTTATTCAAAACAGGGCATTTTTTAAGGAAAGGGCACTATAAATATTTCTTTTTTGAGAAATAGCAGATTGTGCAGAACAAAGCTTTAATGTTTATTTGAAAACAATCAATAAGATTTGAAGGTGGACATGTTGTTCCTGGATCTTTCCTGGGTAAAATTAAGGCCAGCTAAGCAATTGTCAGAAAAAAAATTTAAGGCATTGTTCATTTAAAGGGACTGTATACTCATGTGGTCACAATAATTAAGAGACTGAGACAATTAGACCACTTCACTGTAGTGAAGCTTTAAAGGAGAAATTAAAGGAACATGAACCTGGCTGATCTCAATGTTCATGTACCATAATAGTGCTGTCTCTGAAATGGAAGAGGGGTGCCTATTGGAATGATAGTGCTTATTCAATAGAGGCCTTTGTAAGAATAGGGGTGCTTATTGAAACAAGGGTACTAAATTGAATCACTGTGGTACCTCCATCCTGATTGTGCAGTTTCTTCAACAGGAGCCATACCCAAACTTAGCACTTTACAGATATCACACAACCGTTTGTCAACTGTTGATGACTTGAGACATTTGTCAGAATGTTGTAATCTGAGGTAATGTTGATTTTTTACTGTTTATGGTTCGAACTTACATGTAAAGCCTGCAAGGCTGGCATTCAAAAGTGGGATGGAGAGAGTGATATGCAATCATATGTGCAGATCTGAAACTGAGCGTCAAGTCTTTGAAAACCTTTGATTCCCTTGGTCTTCTTGTATGCCACACAGGCTTCAATCCTTATCTCAATTACGGAAACATTTTCTCTTGCCCCCCTCATCAATGTTGGTAACAGGAAAATGTGACTGCTGGTACTTGGAAAAAAAATGGAGATTGACAGACTAGAGGAGATAGGTGTTTAAACAAAATATGATGAGGGTTTGGTTGTACCTGTACTTTTTCATCGACTTAACATTCATAATTACATACTTATTGACTTAGTGGGAGAGCAGTATGGGAAAACATTTGGCTCAAGGTCACGATGTATGGGCAAATGCAGCTGGGTCTGTGTCATGACTGAGCATTAAATTTTTGTCATACCACCACTTTCACAGTGAAAATTTTTCTTTTATTTTTGCAAGTCAGAACAGGAAACTCACAATTCATTGAAAAACACAACTTGGATTCTAAATTCTGTTTTCTTAAAAGTTCAAGTCCATGATTAAAACTCACTCATTTTTGTAAAACTAGCAAATGTAGCAATGTTTTTTTTGCAACAAAGTTGTGCAGGCTTGATGGCTTTCACCAGACAGGTTCACTTCAACCTGTCCAGCTCTACAGACTTCATATCAGCTTTTAATACAGTTTTCTATGGGATTGCATCAATGCAATGTGAGATTACATCAATGCAATTGCATCATTTCGATTCTGAGTAATATAACATACTTCATAGGTTAAAGAAATCTTCAAATTTCAGTAGGTAAAAGTATTGAATGATCTTTCATGCATCTTATAGAACTGCTTCAATAGGAATACATATGTACATTTGAAGTGCACCAACTAATGACTGTCTACAAAGAGAGGAAATCTTCTCTTGCTTTCTGCCTTTTGAGCGACTGTCCATAACCATTTCATGTTGTTTGTCTTTCCAACATGTAAGAAATGTCTCCTTTCTCATGTCTGCTTGTCTGTCAGTCCTGGTGTCTGTCAATCTGTTTTGCACTTATTACCTGTGACTCTCTGTCTGTTTGGTTCTGTCTCACCACTTGCCTAACCCTTTAACTCCCAAGATCTGATTGTTAATTCTCCCCTCTAGCTACTAAACATTTTCTTGTAAATTAGTTGTAAGAATGTGGTGTTAGATCAACATGACAACTTCTACCTGATAGGTTTGAGTATTCTCCTTACCAGTTTACTGTATAATGTATGGATATTATCAGTAGCGAGAAATAATATGTTAATCACTTCTGGGAGTAAAGGGGTTAATTCAAACTACATATCCAAGTCCTTCTGAATGTTAGAAATCCTGTTTGAGGTGACCCTCATGTCGACCTCTGTTTAACTGTGTGAGTTTTTGTGGATACAAATTTGTGTAACCTTTTCTGAGTTATACAGCAAATGGTTTAAACCTGGGTATAACATGTGATAGTGTAGTCCTGAGAAGGACTGTTGTTAGGAGTAGTGATTGACATTTTGACAACCTGGGCGGAAGTCATCAGTAGGGTGAAGAGAATAGTTGTTGTCAGTCGAGTGTACTAAGTCCGGTTTGTGTAAACTGATTAATTAGTTAAGCCGTGATGTTTTAGCTGTAAGACTCATTGTCTGTCCAAGTCTGTCAGTGTCAATTCAGGAGACAGAAAGGTTCACATTAACTTTCATTTTTTTTTTTTTGCTTGTTTTATATGTATATTCTTTTTTAGAGTTGATTTATAGTGTAGATATTGCAGATGAAGAACCTCACTCTGTCAGATACTCTGCAATAAATCATCATCATTATCATCATTATTATTATTATTATTATTATTATTATTATTATTATTATTTGCAGGTATATATTAAATTGGCATAACATGTATCGATCCAATTATTTATTTCTTCTGGAACATTTTCACTAGCTTAACCAGCCATTCGCGTTAACGTTTAAAATGCTTAGTTTAATATATATATTTTTAGGACCTTGGTAATTGTGACTGAAACATTTCCCTTGCTTTCACAGTGTTCTTGATGTTTCCCACAACCGGATTGACGACCCTGATGTCGTGAAGGTCTTTGAATCCATGGAAAACCTTGTAAGTTGACGGTATTAGCATCTTAAGATGGAAAGTGTTTGATCTCATACACTGTGCATTTTACACGATTTGTCTTGTTTTCTTTCAGCATGTTCTTAATATGATGGGTAACCCGGTCATCAAGAAAATCAAGAATTACAGGAAAATTTTTATCATCAAAATTGTAAGTTTACAAAGCAATGAAGCTACTGTAGGTTATGTGAACAAAAGTTTCAAATAAGGCGCCTGGCTAGCATTTCTAAAATTTTGTCAGACGTGTTACTCCGTAGTACAGACTAACACGATGGTGAACGCCTAACACGGCGATCAAACATCGAGCATACGCAAGGGGATCAATTCTTTCCTGCTGCGCGCCAGTTTCCCGCGCAAAATTTCAAAGGAAAACATCAGAAACAGGCACTGCTCGCAAAGTAAGCGAAAGAAAATTGAAATGTATAGAAATCTGTAAAAAGCAAAACTAGGGAAACGAAAAACTCGAGACTTTTTGAACATCAAAGGTCGATACATTGTTGAACAAAGGGGGTGGTGCGTCGGTTGAAGAGTATGACAGGGTAATTTAGTATTATCAACTGAGTTGATAACGTAAAGTGGCCACCGTAAAGAGTTTTAAAGCTGACGTTTCGAGCGTTAGCCCTTTAAAACTTTTTTTTAAAACTCAATTTACGTTATCGACACAGTTGATAATACTAAATTACCCTGTCAATATACGTTTGACCGACTCGGCTCAAACCATTTACTCTCCATACATATTGTAGCAGCGATCTTGTTTTACGTCGGAGTAGCACATTGTTACAACTAAATTGTGTTGAAAACGTTCGATTCATAAGCGGAAGTGGGTAAAATTTGTACTGTATTTTACTCGAAGTCGTTCACTTAGATTGTTAATGATATTACCTTTTCTCATCCTATTTAGAAAGGTCTCAGATACCTCGATGACAGACCAGTTTTTCCAAGAGAAAGAGCTTGTGCTGAGGCATGGTAAGAATTCAAACCCTTTTTTTCTTGGAAGACGTAGGTGAAAACAATCTCAAATACGATAATACCCCTCACTAAGTGACGCGAGTGAATGATAAACAGGGAGATTAAGGTTTGCTTGGAGGCCTGTGATTCTATAACGTTTACACACATTTTTAGGGTTAAGTTTATGAGAAACTTAGAGGTAGTACTTGTATGTGCATACTTAAAATGTTTTTCTACATTGCATTCTAAGATCATTTGTATTTCAATGGTGCACATGGCTGCGAGTGAGCAACTAAAAGATGCAAGCAAAGACTTAATTATATTTTAAGACGCATTATGAAGGGGAGCAGTAACCCAAAACCAAAACCAAACCCATCGTTCAAAAGCGATCTACCAATTCGCTCAACTACTGAGTGTAGTAGAATAGAGTGCATTTCGATTAAGTGTCGTAAGACCAAAAGCAAAGTTATTACGAGGGCCAATCAGAAGGAAGGAAAATGCCCCTAAGGAGCCAATGAGTACACAGAAAAAATCAAACAAACTACCCAAAGCGCGGGAAAATGTGAGTGACCAAGCCGCGTTTGGTTTAAGGTTTACATCTGATTGGTTGAGAGGGTGGCGCAAATTTCTTGGACCATTCAGAAAGTACAACGAAGCAAAACCAATGCAGTTTCGAATTACCTTCGACACTCAAATGAAACCTGTTGTAAACCCAGTGTTATTTCGGATATCTGTGGGCATTCGATGGAAAAATTCTCTATTACTCAGGGAGAAGGGTGGAGTGGAGGGTGAACGAGAAGAAAGAGAAAGATGGATCACACGAGAACAACAAAAAATCATGGACAGTTTTAATGGTAAGAGGATTCAGCCTTTCTTAACGAAAGATTTATGGTTTTAAAAAGTTATGAAGTACTTTTACGTTAAGGTATAAAATTTATGAAGTACTTTTAAGTTAAGGTATTATTTGCCAGAGGGTATATGTTAATCTTCTTTTTAAACATTGTTTCATGCAGCAATGGCGAAGATAAGGGAACAAAACGAGCTAAAGAAGGTAAGACATACACGTTCTTGGTTGGTTGGAAATACAACAAATGATTTAAATCTTCATGTGGCGATGAAACGAAACTCAGTTTCACTCCTTAGATCTCCCTTGACCTGTGTGATTTTGAAGGGCACCCAAAAGTTTGTCAGCAATCGACTTCCTTACGAGCAACTCTTTTTTTTCGTTTAAAGTGTAAACTAATGGAAGTATCCAGTAGTCAGTCAGTTCAACATGATTGGAATGTTATTGAAAGTTGTGTATAGCCAGGTTTGAAAAAAGGCTACAGTAAAGAGATATTTGGGGGTGCTTATTTAATGTATTTGTGAGCTGTGTCTTTCAATACACCAATTTGTTCCAGCTCGGTGAAAAATGAAAATGATTTAATAGATATTTGGTGTCAAAATTCAACACAATGTGAGTGCAAATTTTTTAAGATCACATTTGTGTCTTATCGAGCAGAAGCAGCAGCAGCAAATTACATCGAACGATGAAAACAAAGAAAACAGCAATGGGCCAAGCGATGAAAGTAACAGCGAGAGCAGCCAGTACACTGAGCAACAGCAAACGCGTACTGAAGAAAAACAGGAGTCTGAAATTGTGTCACGTGTGTTAACTACAAATTGTGTTAACACGAAAACCACTGACCCCAAGGAAGAAGGCGACAATGATTGTTCAGCTTCAGAACCTGAGACGCCTTCTTTTCAGGAAATAGAGACTGTTACAATCGGATCTTCCACTGAGAACCATGTGCTAGCTGATCAAGGAATCTTTAGTGGATCTCGACAGCATCAAGTTAAGAGGGCTGGTCCTATGATTACAGAAATAGTTGTGGATGAAGGTAGTGAGTCGTGCAAAAACAATTTTGTGATATTTTATATGTATTTTGAGGGGAGGTAGTGTTCGATATTATATGACAGATGTTCCTGAAGTATGCTAGTAAGCACGACAAGCAACAATTTTAGGTCATGACATAACAACGTGTGTTGTTGCAGATATAATGTGAATAAGAAACCCTTTTCATATAGCTCATTCATTCGGTGCACGTGCATGACCAAGAATAGTTTGCAATTTCAAAGCAAAAATTATATCAATGTTTTACAATTAGCTTTGCTCGTTTCTAGATGAGGAAGAGAAACGTAAAGGAGAAGGAGTGTTGATCACAGAATTAGAAGGTACGTTCATGTGTAACTGGACTGAACCAGTAAAGTAAATTAGTGTTTGCTTGTATTACTGTTGATTTTGCATCCTATTTGATAAGAAGGCTCCTACAACACCATCGGCGCAAGCACAGTCATCTTTCCCCGCTCTGTAGTGTTGTTGTTGTTGTTGTGATTGTTATTCTATTGTTTATTTCTAACTTAACTAAAGTGAAAGGCAACAGCCCCAGAGTCTGTTAATTTCGCCCATCACAAGCTTGTTCTTTTCGCTTTTAGCTTGGTGTTGACAAACAACTAGTATCTTATCTCAAGTATAACGTATTCAGCGTTGATCTTTTTTTAACGTATCAGGTTTTCTTTCTTTCCTCAGAAGATGACATTGAAACGATATCACTGCGAGAGGTTCCTAGGGAAGAGTCACATGATTTCCCTGATCCCCCTGAAGAGGTTTGTTAGATTTTTAATATTTTGCACATAACACAGTCGACCTCACTGTACCATCTATAAAAATAAAATTTTTACTTTTTCCCCTCATATGATTACCTAAGAAGAATTCATTAAGGTTATTCAGATAGGTCTTGTTCCGCTGACAATATGGAATTTAAGGTTGATCAAGGGACTAAAAATAACTCCCTGTGTAATTCTATCGCAGGATTTGCCCGAGTTGGAGGAAATTGATGTGACGGATCCGTTCTTCATTCGTAGCTTAAACTCCTCTCATACCAAGGTAAGATACGAACTAAAGTTTATTTACTTTGTTCATTCGAGGACCTCTCAGGTTTGAAGAAAAATTCATTCACACTGCCCCACCTCATTATTACTGGAGTACACACATTGTTCTTGGCTTCTTTCACTCTTCAATTGTCAAAGCTTAAAAAATCTCAACAAAAGCTTCCCATTAGGTTACATCTTCCTTTTTTTTCGCTTATTCCTTGCCTATTTGCCGGGCTAATTTATTCGTGAGGAGAATTCGCATCGAAGGGTTTAACGAGACAAATTTATGATGACAAAAACTACATAAATTTGTTTTTTCCTCAAGGCAGGAAAGCGCCAAACCAACGACAAAACGTTTAGCAAAAGGAACGAACAACGATCACTCTTAAGAATGTGCTGAGGCCCTACGTGCTGAGGCACATTGTAGATGAACATCCCCTGCGTCTTTGTTGAAATTTACCTACGGCCTATAGTTCTTTTTAAGGCTTTAATAGCCATCCATTATTCTTTAGAGTGCCATTCGGCCTTCCGTCATGAATATGTAGGATACTTGACGTTTGTGTAGCAATATTTTGGTAATGCTTACGCATTCACCTCTAAGATGATAAAAAACCATTTGGTTTTTACAAATCTAGTGATTTAGTTATAGTGTAAAAACGCAATAGGAGAAAAGTCGATGATCGAATTTTCTCCCATTGCGTTTTTCTACACGTTTCGTACTTAAAAGGTCTTCTATAGGTCCCTTGTTTTATTAACGTCGTCTTAAAGAACTCCATCGTCAGAGGTGCACGTACTTTTTCTTCGAAAAACATTAATGGTTCAGAGCCAGTTTCCAGCTTCTCATTTATGTTGATTTTGTTTCCATAGAGAAAACCACTTATTGAGGAGATGGACAGTAATTTGGGATCGCAAGAGAGACCGCTTATTGAAGAATACCGACGAGAAGAACTCCCTTTCAGTGACCAAGAAAAAGCCCTACCTGCAAGGAAACCTTTGATCGAGGAAATAGACGAAAGGTTTGCACGGTTGGAAACGTCTTCAAAGAAACCAAGTAAAGCACTTATCGAAGAGCTCGATGTGGTAGATGACAGGGAAGAATCAAAGCCACTTATTACAGAGATATCATATGACGAACAGACACCAGATGCAGATACTGCTGGAAGGCAAGAATCTGGGCTCATCGCCAAAGCTTGTACCCAGTCTACGACTGGTCCATCTTGGGAAACACTGCAAAGACTCGCTGAACAAGTTGGATCGACGATAGAACGGGAGCCACTTGATATGAATAAGGAAAAGAAGGCTTTTATGAAGAGGATGCATGACACCAACTTAGGAGACTTGGACTAAAAACACTAAAACAGCTGAATGTTAACGGGCTACGTTACAATATTTGAGCCATACTTGATGACGTGCATAGCTACCTTCATATGTGTGTGGAAAGACAGGAAAACACAAAAGAGGCAATGATAAACCAAGAAGGAACAAGAATGGAGAAGATTTACAATGGATTGCATGTGATGGACTGAAATTGCTCAAACTACTTTGTGAAAATGCTCTTTTAAGAATAGTTCATTAGCAGAAGGCTGATGAAGATGCTCGTATTATTGTTTACGACCATCACATAAGGCTTTGTATGATTATGTGACAACACAGTAACAACAAAAGTACTTACTTTGGTCCCAAAGTGTTCCGTGCATTTGAGATTTGTCTTAAAACACGGCGACAGGTGGTTGCCACATAGAGCTTTAAATGTTGTCAATTGCATGCTAATTTCACATCAGGTAAGATGCGCGATCAAAAGCAGCTGCATTTTATGGTCATAATTTCACATAAAAATCGTTTAAACGACCCTTGCAATGCTTGTCTTTGTCATCCTTTCAGTGGTTCAGGGACTTTTTTCTTCGATGGTATGAAAAGTTCGGAAAAGGCCCAAAGGCCATGTTACAACCCCTTGGTTCGGTAAGAAATTATATTATGCTTGCGTGATAACGTCTTTTGGAGCAATTTGTAATATGAAAAGGAAGGTCTACTTCAAAATTAGGGGGCAATAGCAGTCTTGCGGAGTGATCTACCAATCAAAACGGATGACCGTAAGAAGAATTTTTATTGTCTAAAGATTTCCAATCACAGAGGCGGTTAAGAAATATTAAATTTTAATTGACCAAAGACAATTTTCCTTCTAGTCTGATCGATGGAAGATGGGCTTTTTCTAACTAGCAGGTAAATGAATAATTTCTAACTTTTTTCGTCTGTTTCAGTATATATCTTCTCGATCATCGATTGCAAAGTCAGTAATTAGCCACAAAAAGTACGCGTCAAAACTGCTGATATGAAACTGCGGTGGAAATAAACGGCCGTAGGAAATAGAGTTTCCAAGCGGTTCGCTTCGTGGAAGAAAGTAAACTTGTGTCTTTCAGATCCTCACAGAAGGTACGAATGTTTGCACCATAATCATCCACTCGAAGGTAGCAAAATTATCGCTCCAATACAAACTCACTTGAATATCAGTTCCTCTTTTGAAAGCAATCGATATCGTGACATCAGCCATTAAAGTCTGAGGTGGAAAGAAATCCCATAAGCTCTTTATTGATTCATGTTCTATCTCTAGTGATCGAAATAAAGAATTCCATTTCCGATGAAATATATTTTCACCAACCGGACGAGTGAATTTTCAGTCACGTAGAAGTGAGAATGACGAAGAGTCGTTGTTTTGAAGTATTCCACAAATACATGCCTCCTCTTTAGAGAAATTGGCTTTTCTTCGAAGGAGCAAATTTTCGTTGTTTATTTCTCATTTTCCATGTTGTCACTTCTCACTAAATTAACAACATTTCCAACATTGTTTGTTGGCTTATATAAAAAGTCACATACATCTTTGAAATGCATTTTCAATGGAAAGGTAACACCCTAATGTGCTTTTTGTGCCTTTATCATCGTAAAGACCATTCTGAATATTTTTTCATGCGAAATAATAGCATTAATTACGAAAATTGATGGGCACATTTCCAGTTGAAAGCAATAGAGCAAAGTTGAAGTTTGGCAACGCTGATGAATTCAAAATAACAAAATAGAATTCAGTTGTTTCTTCGTTTAAGTTGTACAGAGGAGACCTTTCTATTTATCCATCAGTCACTATATGGCGTGAGGTCTTCGAAACCAGACATTTTCCAATTACACGATGCCTTTTCAATATTTAGTAACTGCATTTTTACTGCGAAATAAATTGCGACAATAAATGCATTAATGTTGTATGAGAAACTTCAGAGTATATCGTTCTGTCTCAAACGAAGCTTCAATTATGAATAAAGTTTCTCTGAAGTTGGTTTAAGGTGTTTTCTGTTTGATCGCGTGAAATTATTCTTTAAAAAACAAATGAGTCAAATAATCTCTAAATACATTTCTTTTCTTACATCTGCTCTGCCCAACATGATTGATAAAGTGTTGTTCAGCGGGGAGTCGTTGGAGATGAGGTAGCCTTATCGTTTGCTGTGATAGCGCCAGGTGATAAACACATTTCAATAATACAGCCTTCAGAAGTGAATAAAATAAATTCGTGTTTGTACCGTTTGCTCATTGTGAACTCTGGTTAGTAAATGATAATAGAAGCTTTACATTTCTATTTTACACATAAAAAGAGCATTTTTGTGGGTGGCACTGACATATTTCCCTTTTAATGTGGCTCAGAGCAGAGTTATCATTTTTAAACACCAATTCTTTGATAGAACGTAGCTTCCACACTGCTCTTTTGTTTCCCTACAGATATGTGGTATAATGAAAACGGCCTATTATTTCTCAACAAGTAATTAGTTTTGTACATGTGAGGTTATCATAGCAACTGATCATGAACAGCCTTGAACCCTTTGACTCCAAGAGTTACTGGTATCCAAAATCTCCTCACAGTATCGCTATTGAATCACGCTTTAAGGTTATGAGAATAAAGGAAATGATCACCGACCAAAGAAGCTCTTAACTGTTACACAAATTCTACCTGACAGCATCTTTGGAAATTTGTAAAGAACAGTCTGAAGAAAATGCTTACTGATGTTTAGGTGTAAAGGGTTATATGAAATTTGTGTGCCTCTAACTTAGGAAACAGTCCAGTGACCACTATCCGTATTGTTAGGATACTCTCGCTGACCGGAACAAAAATTCGAGAAGAGATCGATCCGTACAGCGAACGGCCTAGAAACGATGCTTTTTATTCGACAAAAAAAAAGCAACAACAATGACAACAACAAAATTTGGTGGGTTTCTGTAGTTCGACTTCAGTAACCTTGGAGATTTCTGGAGAAATGATGCGATAATCAAGAACCTGGGTTGACTTGAAAATTCTCGTCTTGAATTGCCATGTTTAACGCTAGTGTCGTTCACGTGCCTTGTGATGGTTCAGCTAAAAGGAACGAACAAGATCAAAGTTCGCGGATAGATCATTCAAATTACAAGTTTAGATTGGTTTAGTCCTCAATGGAACAGAAAATCGAATACGTCTAAAGATTAAAGAAATAGAGGAGTGAAGGAAAGAAAGAAAAAGCAGAAAAAAAAAATGAAAATGAAAAAACAAAAGTAGAGGAAGACTAGGGAGAATCTTATTATGTAAATTTTTAAGTTTTCCAGTCAAGATGGACAGATTTCGCCCTTATTTTTTTTGTGTATGTGTTTTTGTAGACTTCCAATTATTCTCGCTCCGTATAAAACGCAAACATATACAACCACTTTGGTCAATAATGCATATTTATCAGCAGAATGTTAATATTTAACACACTGTTCTGTCGAAATTGGATGAACGAATTATCAATATTTTCCACCAACCGTCGGCATCCTTCAAAAGAACACATCTAGAAACGGTTATGAAATGTAAGATTTTTTGAAATTAGTTTACAGCTCATATAATTATATATTTTGGACCGATTGTTGGCTTGGAGTGTTTCTGGATCGACTGAATGGGATACAAAAGGCAACAAGGATCAAAGCCGTATTTAAATTGCAATTTACTGACGTCAACACCTTTCTTTAACAATGGTGCAATTAAAAACGCTGAGATAATACGAACAAGGCGTAATGTCTTTTCTTGAAAGAAACGAACCTCAATTTTTCACAATGATTTTCATACTAACAGAAAAGTAAATTAACTACATTAGTTATTTTTAATTTTGTATTTAAAAAAAATATTGGCGTTTTTTTAACGCTTCGGTTAACTGATGAAAGTAACATTTTGTCACACTACTTTCCCCGTGAGACTTCGAAGTGATCGTAGCGTTGGAATAAAACATGTTCCTTCGGCAAGAGATCAGACGAAATAGATGTAACTGAAAATTACAATCATAACAAAAATGCTGCTGCAAAAACAATGAGCTTATTTTACAGCTTAACGCTAATAAAACGCGATTGTAAAAAATAAAAAAACGTTATTAGTTAAAACTTAAAGTGTTAAATTAAATTTATTTCTCCTTATATTGCTGTCAATCAAACGAATTGGATAGTCAGAGTCCCAGCTCTGTTTTCGCTTAGGAGAGCGAAAATTGACTCACGGATCACAGAAGCGCTAAACAGAGTGCGAGATTTCAGACGAAGACCTGCGACGGTAAGATATAAATATAGACGTCTTTTTGAAAACAAAAACATAAACAAAAACAAAACAAAAAAACAAAAACGAAAAAACGACGAACGACGTGCTTTTTTATCCATGAAAGAATTCATATTGCTTTAGCCATAATTTAACATCATCCAGTGTAAAAATTTTTTAAACAGTTAAATTTATATCCGTAAGTTTTAACTTTCAGCCATAGATATACCTTATTTTCAATTTTTATTTCTCGGGCTAAGGCCTTACCTTAGCCACAGTGTCGATACGAATACAATCAGGAGGGCGTACTGATTATTTCAGCAAGAAAACAATTTCGGTGCAGTTTCCGGCAACCATTTTTTTTCTCCTCAAAAAATACCTTCTGCTTATAGAGAAAAATGTCCAGAGGTTAGGAAGAATCTTGGCCGACTTCCAGCAATCCTTTTTTTTTCTGCGAGATCAACGAGGGCAATCTTGAGCGGAAAGAATGGGACCATCTTAGGGTCCAGGTGGTCTGAAGTTTGGGCTAAATCACCGCAACGTGTGCTAAAAATACACACTCACGACTTGGTTATAAGTCAACTCAAAGAAACTTGCATATGTTGAAAAAGATATTCATTGTTTCATTTCCTTTACCCGGAGCCAGCACCGCAAATTGCATCTAATCAGTGTAAAAAATAAATCTTCGTTATTGTAAGTTCTGCCATGAACATAAGTGATATGATGGACACAAGTATCTTGAGTAAAGTTTTTATGCTTTGGGCCAATCGTTTTCAGCACACAATGCTTGAATGTGCGACTAGTAAAGTTCGTAGTCTACAATTGTATCACGAAACTGATTTATGGTGCATTTTAAATTCGCAAACTGCCTCAGCCGTGGGAAAGCGAGTGGCAACTTGTAATTGGTTTAAATTTTGCAACTTATTGGTCGAAAGGTGGCGATTAGATTCTCGATCAATCACAAAGCGAATTGAGTCATGCAAAACCAAAGCAAACCAAAACAAACAGCTTTCTTTCGTTTTCTTAGAATGATTCGTTTATTGTTGGTCTTGCAAGAAATGATCTCTTTGAGACGGCTGGTGACTCAACCTGTGAACCATCAAAAACTCGACAAAAATGAAAGGTATATAATGTCGTCCTTTCAAAAAATTGAAGAAAATCAATCACTTAATTGGGCAACGCACCTGTTTTTCCAGCAAATAATGTGAAGCCTAATACTTTTTCATGATATGTGATCACATTTTGTTGAGCGTAGTAATAGGGCAGTAGTTTATAAGTTTGGAGTCAGTATTTCACTTCATAGTTAAGGAAACTAAGATGAAAAATGAGTCTGTTTCATCGTGTGGAAGACAGGACTTTAACTATCTCATCTCTACCTCATCGCCCGCAGTCTGGCTAGATTGTGCAAAAAACTTCTCATGTGTATTCTTGACTTGGGTGCTCTTTCCTCAAACATGCTTATTACTCACATGGTAAGCCTCAGCCTCTCCAACTTTCTAGCAGAGTAATCGACCATAATCTTAACCTTATCCCTTTCTAAGTCCCTTTCCGAAAAAGAAAAAAAAAAACGCCTCTTAGTCCCGGTTGATGCTTGCCACTTTCAGCCACTTTCTTCTCTCGCCTTTCTACGACTTTTACGGTAACTGTTACGTCTCAAGCTCGTTGGCTAAGTTTCCATAGCCAAAAGTAACAGAGGTGTATCTCCATGTTTTCTTCTCTGGACGGAATGCTTGTTTTTTGGTCGCTAGTCCTTGATTTCAAAGAACGCGACGCACTTTGCTTAGACCTGTATTTCTCAACCCTGATTCCAGCTCCAGCGCTGTCCATCAAGCCAAACATGTCTTCAACCTTGCCTTTCCAAAACAGACTGAGATTAATGGGTGCTTTGTGTACGTTTGGCTCAGCTCTTAGAGTGTCATATGCAAGCAGTGCTTACACTAAAGTTCTTGAAATGACTAACAAGAGTGTGCTACCTTAACAGATTACACCTGCCAATCACCAGACGTGCCAGTCCTACCGATCCTCTCCACAAAATGACGCATATGTTGGTGAAAATACTTATACAGAATTATTTATGGACATATTTGAAAGACTCTAATTTCAAAATCAATTCCCTCTCTATTGAGAATTGGTAACAGAATCGTCTTGTTGAGTAACCATACTGGTAACGCCAGGTGTTGTCACGTTGTTAAAATCGTCGGAGTAGACTTAATTTTGCGTTTGTAGTTTACAATCCGTATCACACTTCTTTACAAGTCATTCTCGTTTCACCATCGTTCATTTTGTCCTTTTTTTATTTCTCCCTGTTCCCATGTTTGTTTCCGTGAATTATTTTAAGTTAAGGACATTTTTCCTCGGCGCAGGAAGAAGAAGCGAACCGGTCAGGGAAGTAACCTATTTAGAACAATCGTTTGCACATAGAAATTGAATAAATATCTTGTCAATGCAGTATATTCCTTCAAAGATTTCTTTCTCTGCAAAATTCCCTTAGAGTTACGTCATTCGCGAGTCTACCGGACGTATGTTGTGACACAACGTGTTTCACGTGCAAATGATTTTGAAAATCTAAGAGATTTCGCTTGAGAAATTAAAAACCTTCAATTTTTGGAAGTAAAGTAGCTAAACACGTGAAAATGGACATTATTTTAAAATTTACATCAATTGTTACGGAAAAACAGAGCAGATCATCTCCTATGCTTATAAATATCTACGAAACGGAAACAATCGAATCTGCTATAACAAGAAGTCATGAAGTTTTCCAATCTTGTAAGTCAGTCAAATGAATGTAGAGGGGTTAAGTTTCTGACGAAACTGTGGTGCTGCTTTGGTGGGGGGAGGGGGGGGTATAAAAAGATAATTTAATGTTATCAGGTGAGTCGATGAGGTAAATTGGCTAATGTACAGAGTTTAGCTGACGTTTCGAGCGTTAATCACTTTGTCAGAGCTCAGTAACTCCGTCAACGTGACAGAAAAGTAAAATTAATCAGTATGGGATAGTCGAAAATAAAGGAGATTACCAAAAATACAGAAATAAGAAATGATGGATCGGTAGGAAGTTAAGATAAATGTAAGAAATGAAATCTTCTCATTCAACCCTTTTTGAGTGACATCTTCTAAGGACCCAAGGAATTCGTGAAACACTTGGTTTTCAGACTCCTTTTTCATTATATTGTTCATATATTATTTTAAATGATTTTTTTTTGTCATGGTATTTTTATCTTTTTTATTCTTTTTTACATCCTAGAGAGTTGGCGTTACGCTGAAAACAATCCCGCGGCAATAATTTTTAGCACAAAAAGTGTTACAATGTTTTTGCATTTAGGTTCATTTGAGGATTGAAAAGAACTAAATGGCTACATTTCCTAGACGAAGATAACACTACATCAATGAATTTGCATTATTTTTTGTAATCGTCACACCGAGTTAAGATATTTAGAAAAAGAGCATCAATGTTATTGCATCGAATTGCAAGAGGTAAGAAGGACATTTTCGGATAGTCAATCTGGAACTTCTATTGGAGAAACTGTTCTCATTGAAGTGATATCATATGTGCTCTTTTGTGAATAATTAGCAGAAATTTTATTGCCATCATGCAAAACTTGCGTCAAAAAATACTAATTAAAAACGAAGTTGAAACGAGATTTATTTACTCTGAGATGTCAAGTTCGAGATAATAATTATCGCCAATACTTTAACTGTTTTCCTGTGGTAAATAAGGGCTGTTCGGGAGTGACAAATCTAAGCTTGAAACAAGAACAAAAAACAATGTTGTTCTTTAATTTAATTCAAAAGACCACCTGGATATGTTGTTTCGATAATTTTAAAGATGGTTAAGTTGTTTCATGTTCAGTGTGAAATCACTTTTAACCAAGCATCAATTAGGCTTTACCGCTTTAAAATGAATCATTTTTAAGCGTGAAAACCTAGGTAGTGTATTCACGCCACCCGATGAGTGACGGTCTTTTAAAATTCATGTCCCCGCAGACTGTGAATTCAATAGCCAATTGGTGAGTAGTTATCCGAAGTAGAATCTAACACATTCATGATAAGTTATTTGCAAACTACTGGATGAAATGAAAAGCGAAAGACAGCTGTCTTTTTATGCCAGGCAATGTATTATTCATGTCCTTGTTTCAGGAGTGAAAACAAATTAACTTTCAGTTCCGTCGTATTGTCATCCCGAGGCGGTTGGGCTGCCTATGTATAGAGCGAAGGAAAAGCCTTGTCAATGTCGTTGGCTAATAGTTATTTTAAATACCTCGCAGAAACACACAGTGGCTCAAAGCCAAAGAATCTGGTCGGAGCGGTTGAAGATTTTGAGGTCTGTTCGAGTTAATTGTTTTTCGATGTACACTCACAACTGGTAGCAGAACTGGTATAAACTCAAATTTCCTACCACACCAACAAAAGTTCCTTTCGCTCCCTTCCTTGATATGGAAAGAACCGTAGAAAGTGTTAGATTTAAAATTAGACGCATGATAATCGACAGAAGTTGTTATCTCCAGTTTCGTGTATAAGCCGTAATATGTTCAGAAGATGCATGTGCATTTCTGGTTAGACTGCCTGTTTTGAATTGATACAATTAACTGGTTGAGATCAGACAACTAGACAAGTTAAACATCAAAAAGAAACTGCAAAACGACATGTTAAGTCCAGCTAAGATGTTACATGAAGACAGATGAGCGTTGGATGTTGTCTTTGAGTAGCATAGTGATATAAAATCAGACGCGTAAATCAAGTGAGGCCACCTATGCTACAATAATTTATTTTTCCAAGCTTTCGCCCATCTACGGCATCATCAGGGAATGTACGTGGATAGATCTTTGAAGTGGAGAGCATATCGGGCGAGGTGTTAGGCTATTATCTGCCAAACCCCTATTATCTAGCCGAACACCTCGCCCGATGCCGTAGATCAGCGAAAGCTCGGAAAACTAAACTATTGTAGCATGCCTGGCCTCACTTGATTTACACGTCCGAAGATAGATAAGTTTAAACGAAAACTTCTCAATAATGTGTTTTTCCCCATTTCCATTCTTTTTTTTTCCGTGAGTGAAAACCGATATTGGTGATTTTCGTTTCGAAAACTCCTTAGCGAAAGCCAATTAGGCAAACAAGTAATTGCTAATCGAAAAGCTTTTCAAGTGAATGATTTCAGCCAGTCAAAGCAATTATTGGTTGTTGTGGTTTGTTTGAATGTTAAGCACCCTCCTTATGAAAGATATTGAAAAAAGTACTCTATTTGAAGTCTTACATCACTTGACGTGAGGCAATTAATTCGTCCCCAAAACAAAAAGTAAGCGGCAATTAGTGCGAGTAAAAATAAAATGCGTTGAATAAATTACACCGTAATCCTGAAGGTGTAAGAAGGTTACGATATTTACAGCTACTTTCAAGAAGTAAAATTTCGTATTAGGTCTCGAAGCTTTTAAAATAAATTATCTATCTTTGGCTTTAGTTTGAACTCGATTGACTGGTCTGTGTTGAAG